AAAAAAAAATCACATAAAAATCATAGCTTCTTGTTGTACGAGCCTCCTTTACGATGGTACGATCACGAATGACATGCGTCTTTCAATCCTTTTTTTTTTGTTACCCTTTTTGTGATTTYCTTTTGGCACTATTGACAATTATGTTTTTTCCTTCGCACTCATTAAAATTAATCAGGAAATGGAAGAAACTTTTGCCCGCTTATAGGAGTGGGCGAAGAAAAATTTTACTAAAATTTATACACACTACTTTTTAAATGAATTAGATTTCTTTTTAATTTAATTTATATATTTGATTTTTATTGCGAGATGTTTCATAGTTGTATTAAATTGAACACATTTATTTATGTTTGGATTTTTAAAAACTCCTTTACCGTAGTTTGTCGCAAATTTCCTTCTTTTTGTTTTATAAAACAGCTTTCAAGACGACTTTCCAAATTTTTGGTGTACTGAAATCCAGTAACGTCGTCACTAACGAATTTTTTAATGCGACGAAGTTGTTTAGTGATTCGGTGTATGTTTTAATTTGACCCGCATCCTGAGCGCATACTTCATTTAGGTCTTCAGTTTCTCTGTCAGATAATTCGTCAGTAACCGTTTCGTCAATAAAAATGTCAATATTATCATCTTCTATAGTAACAATTTCGTCGATTAACAAAAAGTCATCGGAATGCTGCCCTTGCCCATTTTCATTTAAAAGCTTTATCAAAGCCGATAACGTCGATATGGGAATATCATCTTCTGCATCGGAGTCAGAAATTTCGTTCACTTTTTTGGAAACCAGTTTTTAATTGTTTGCATCGTTACGTTGTCCCATGCAGTCTTAATAAAATAAATAACCTCCAAAATGTCAAATTTTTTTGAAAGGTTGTTTATTGAAATTTCATCTATTCTTATTGAAATATGTTTCATAATATTGCATATGTAGTGACATTTGAAATTCTATATAATTCCCTTATTGGGGGGCTGGCAAATTCATGTTGTATTAGCAGGAAAAAAGATCAACTTTATGTTATTAAGTTTAATATCCCGAGGGTGAGTTGTGGCATTGTRCAAAAATAGTAAAACTTTTCTCATCTGAGAACCCATTTTTAATCAAACGTTATTAGCCACTCGCACAAAATTTCACGAGACATCCAAGCTTTGGGATTTGACTTCCATTCAACTGGCAGACTTTTTATATCGCATTTTGTAAGCGCGCGTGCGCATGCTGCTTTTCCGATCACTAACGGTTTTTCTTTATCTCCAGCCATATTGGCATACAATAGCACTGTTAATCTTTTCTTCGATAACTTACCGCCAACGCATTTTTCGTTCTTCAAGGCAAGAGTATTATTTGGCAAAGCCCGGAAAGAGAGTCTAGTGTCATCTGCGTTAAATATATCTTCTGGTCTGTAGCCCAATAATAAGTCTCGTAGCTTTTGGTTGAATTGATGTATATCCTCAGGATTAACCTCAGCGGATTTTCCACATTGCATTTGAAAGTCACATTATGTCGTTTCCGCCATTTTTCCAACCATCCATTTGATGCCAAAAAAGTTTGAACTCCTAATTGACCCACACAAATTGCTTTTTCTTTTATAATATGGCCCGACTGGTATATTTTGATTTCTGGCTTTGACAAACAAGTCAAAACAAAAATTGTCTATTTTTGAACCATCCTTATTTAAGAAGTTTTCCTTTTTATTTATGTTATCACCACTCAACCATATCCTTTTAATGTCTTCCTTTTTTCACAATAGTGGCAGCCTGGGATTTTCCAATATGGAATCGTTAAAAGCAAATAAATAAAATTATAAAAAATTGTACTATTACAAAGCAMYAACCTTTTTCCGAGTGCACGAACAGATAAATTTCTTTCTCCAACACATTTAAAATTTCCATTTTTTCTTTAATAGAAAGTATTTTATTTTTTTGTGTCATATTTTCCCGGTTAACACGACCTAAACGTGTTGCAAAGACAAATAAAAGTATGTACTCATATTACTCGTATATAGATACTCTACATTTACTTCAATTATTGGTATTCGTTGTCCTCAAGTAAGAGTTTCGCGTCCGCTCATCAGAGGTTCAGTAATCCAAGTTTCTTGTCCCTTGTCGAGAGGTCCGCGTCCACCTTCAAGAGGAAATGAAAATAAAAAGTAGTAAAAAAAAGTGTCCGCGTCCGGTCACGAGAGAGTCCGGTTGTTAGATTGGAATTTGTTCTGAAAACGCAAAGTAAAACTTGGTTCCTGAATTTTTGTCCGGTTAATCTGTATAGTGATTAGTGATAAAATCATGATTTGAATTTCTGAATGCGCACATGCATATACATACATTTGTATGAGCAGATAATAAGATTTTGATATGAGCATGTGCAGAGACGTAAGATTAATATGATAGAAGATGTACATACATACATACATATGTATATATTGTTGTGATAAATTTAATTTCTATTAGTAAGAAATATAATACAAAAATATTTATAGTATAGTTTATTATGTAAAAATCAAATAAAATGATTAAATTTGCATGTCCAAATTGACTATAAATATTATTATGCATGCATTCATTCAAAATTGTACTCATATCATAATTATTTTTAAACTAGCAACCCGCCCCGGCTTCGCACTGAAATAAAATATAAGGCCTATGTTACTCACTGAAAAAAATTATTGAAATCGATCCCGTAGTTTTGATTTATTCATTACTGCCCGTGGCACGCGTTACATTTGGAGTAAAACAATTCCCCTTTCTTTATACCATGAAGATTTCCTTGCTATCTTTAGAGTATCTAAATTCATACCCAAAATTTTTTTTTTGCGTTTTTACATATTTATTTTATTTTTACAACAACAATTAATATATTACAGAATGTCTTTATATACAACGTTCACAGCTTTCTTGTCATTAGACAATACAAACATGTTTTCTCTTGAGGTTACTCTTGATAGAGCGACATACAGTTGGCCATGTGAAAAACAGTCAACGCCCAAATCTAAGCCTGCAACGTTGAAGGTTTGACCCTGCGTTTTATTAATGGTCATTAGAAAAGATGTCTTTACCGGAAATTGTAAACGTTTAAATTGGAATGGTAAGTCCGATGGTATCTAGGGATTTGGGGAATCAATACATCTTCTCCGGTACCACATCCTGCGAGTAWTTTGCACTCTATTATGAAAGTTTTCAGTGATTTTACCAGCAAACGCGTGCCATTGMAAAGTTTAGGTGGATTCAAGTTTCTTAATAAAATAACATCACCTAACCTACCTTCAACACCATTTTGTGAGGAGGGAGTCCAGACGGGTTCAAAGAGTTTAGAAATTCTGTAGGAAAATGAACAGCTTCTTCCAAATCGAGAACAGTATCGACCGAATAGTATATTTTCGTCGGCGCATCAACATTTGAAAGAATCAAGTTATTTACTTTATCTACTTGTTGGTTAGTTGGTGACAGAATAGCTCTTTCTTTATACCAAGATATTGTCTTATAACTTATGTTATCAATGTCAGGATAGACATTGTTGACTAACTCTTGGATGTTGTCTATCAAAACACAAAGGTTTTCTAGGTTAACCCTTCCCTCACTTTGTGTTAATTCTCCATTGCCAACTAACTTCTAGCAACATCTCTGGAAATAGCCTGTTCTCACGTGAAGATGACGAAACCCTCATATTAGTTTTAAGCTCTAATCTTGACATGTGACCAAAGGTTGGACCTTTTTAGGGAAGCATTTATTTCGTCAGCTCGTGTTCCTCGAGCCACAACTAGTAGGATTTGACGGAAATCTCCGGAGAACAGAATTGTACATCCACCCATAGGTGAATTTTTGTTGCGTAAGTCGCGCATTGTCCTATCCAGTGTTTCCACAGACGTCTTGTTTGACATGGTAGCTTCGTCCCAGACTATTAATGAGCAGTCACGCATCAATTTTCCTTTATTGCTCTGTTTAGAAACACTACAGACGCTGTTATCATCATTGGTGGCGATTCTCAGCGGGAGCTTGAATGTAGAGTGTGCGGTTCGGCCTCCTTCCAAAAGCGTAGCGGCAATGCCGGATGACGCAACAGCTAACGCATTTTTTCCAGTGAATATCACTTTTTTTAAAAGCAGATTGATTAAAAAGGTTTTTCCTGTGCCTCAATTTATGTTTAATCGTGGCTCATCTTGAGCTATATTTTGTAAAAGTCTCGTTTGATCGTACGATGTTTCTCTTGTGTATTCGGCACTGTCAGTTAAATCTGAGTTAGTAGTATTAGCTGGCATCGGCAGCCCAAAATGCTTGATCGATTTACCCGAAAGTAGTTGCACTACTTTGTTTAATTCAAATAATTMTTCGTCAAATATGTTTTGATCATATTGTACATCATCTGAGTTTAACTCTCGCCGTCGCCGAATCACAATATCACTGGCCATATTTTCTTGAAATTTATGCYATAGATTGACAGAATCAGTTACTTGACAAAACACCACTATGACGACAAATAAATATCTAAATGATGTAGCTGAACTACAAACAGCTGCTTCTGATAATGTATTTTCCCAGTGAGAATCGCCTTCCAAGAGCCCCATAGCTTTGCATGCTGCTTGATAAGTATTTTAAACAACACCTTGTACAGTTCTAAGGTGACCAAAGGATGTCGGCCCTTTTACAATATGAAGTAACATTCTCAGATAAAAGCATTCGCTGTTGTTGGGATGAATCACTTAGACTCTGCCAAGAGCATCCGTTTCTTTTACTCCATGGAAACAATCAACCGCAGTACCTTGTTTTCGCCGTTGAAAAGTTTTAGAACTCTGGTTTCATGTATAGTAACTTGGTACTCTGTCATATGTCAGTATTTTCGCGAAATCATCTTGAGCACATAACTTGAAGAATGCTGTCACTGTTGTATCCCGGGGGTTATTAACAACTTCTTGTATATTGTTCTCAGTGAAATATAATCTTTGTCCATTTTCTAAATGAACTGCAAGGTGGACAATTGTGGGAGACCGGTCGTGCACTTCGTATGATAAAATCCTCTATACAGCTTCAGAACTGCAGATGTAGCGTCCAGACTGATATATTTCCACTTCATATGGTGATTGTATGCTGAAAGTGGCTTGGTCACTGCCTTTATTAATGTACTTAGTAACACATTGGATTGACTTTATTGAATTGCACAACTCCACGTTGATGTGGACATCAAAAATTTTCAAAAGGAGCGGATTGTAGGGAACGATCCATCGGTTATCAACATCATTGTTTTTGACGGTAGCAATTTGCCAACCCTGCTCTGGCGATCGTCGATGATATTTGGGATATCCGTCATCGCTAGTACTTGTTGTTTGGAACGACTTCGGATATTTTTTGCTGCATTTAGAATCTCGCATACATGGAGAATTCGGGTTTAAAGTCCCGCAAGGGCCGTGCATCATATGTTTCTTAACGATTTCATACAGGATAGGATCTTCATCTTTATCCGGTAATTCAGCTGAAATAACCCTGTCAATTTGGTTTGGTCTAATTTTGTTCACTAACCATACCAGCAGGTGTACATGTGGCAAGCCACGCTTCTGCCATTCTATTGTGTACATATGAAAGCGCGGCGGACAGAATATATGAGACTTGTTAATGAGGTTCAGGAGTTTCTGTACTTTTAAATGGAAGACTCTGTTAACTATATCGTATCTGTCTTGTGGATTTAAATTGGTGTTAATATTCTCTTTGATTTCCGGCCAATTTGACATAATTTCTGACGTAAGCCATGGCGTCTTGCGATTTTTCGTGTAAATATTTAGGTCTACCTGTGAATGATGAAGGTAGTATAACCAACTGCCCAATGCCGTTGTGGTGTTCATTCGCCTGTAAAGCATCCTGAAGATGAATGTAATTTTCGGCTCTCAATTTAGTTTGATTATTACGGATGTAGGCCAATCTCTCAGATTGAGTTTTCGCATATTGATCTACCAAGTATTTCTTTGTTAGCATTCCATATCTAAGCAAAGTGTTGAAAGCGTWACGTCTTGTCATTATACGGTAGCAATAGTAGTTCATACATGACACTGTTGTACACAGAGGTGTACCACCGCTTGGGTCAACTTGAGAAATATTAATGGCATAACCATTTTCTCCAAGACATAGCATCAAAGGATATTGTAAGCTGTCATAAGATCTGTGTAACTCTGAATTTTTTTTTTCAAATTATGATCACGACTATGCAATACAATATCTCATTGCTGCCCGGCTATCACCATTGCTACTTCGCTCGTGGAAGGCGCATTGTATCGTCCTTCCTCTGTGTTCTCCAACAGGAACTTTATTTGCATGGATTACGACATTAAAGTCAGGAGTATCTGCTGGAACACTCTCAATCGCAGTTTTGAAAGACTGTATGTTGCAATTATGAGAATGCAACAGATCTTGGAGAGAGCTAATCAAATCTCTATCAATTGGCTGTGCAACACTTGAGCACCTCGTAGATACTTGTGTAATAAAATATATTTGCAGAAATTTGTGATCATCGGGTCGAAGTGGTAACAAGCTCCCAGCTAAGTGGTACACTTGCCCTTGAATCTTAAATGTAGGCGTGAACCCACGCTCAAGTACTTGCGTACTCTTAAAAGAGGTCATTGAAATGCATTATTATAACGGCGTACATTGCCCATGAATTGTTTAGATTTCTGATGATCACCCGTAAGAAGAGAGTGAAGTGGTTCAGGTGGAGGGAGAATTTTTTCTAATTTGACTTTTCCTTGTAAGCAACACATGCCTTTCGATTCGTCCTTGAATTTCAATGTCAAGCAATGTTCACACACTACTGACATAGTACCTATTGATACTATACGATCGTCCTTGTAAGAAATCAAAGGATCGTAGTTCAGGGCAGAATTTTCTTTACTTACCCATGAATTAGTAACTCGTGCTGATGATTCCCTGGCTCTCTTTGTTCTTTGTCTATCCTTATCTCGGGTGCGGCGAGCCTCACGTTCTACTGAAGATTCTCTCTCTCTCTCAGCTCTTTATCTATCCCGAAGCTGACTGAAACGGGCCTCACGCTCTACTGACGATTCTCTGGCTCTCTGAATCGTATGCCTATCTCGATCCCGGCTGTGGCGAGCCTCACGCTCTACTGAAGATTCTCTCTCTATGTCAGCTCTATATGTATCCCGAGCCTGAATAAGGCGAGCCTCACGTTCCGTTGACGATTCTTCATCTTTTGCTGAACGTAGTCTTCTGGCGTTCACTGTACTTGGACCTATGTCCGAATGACGACGTCTTCCAGACACGGCTTTATAATTTCAGTACAAAATTTACTCAGTTCTTTATTATTATTAATATGTGCCGCAGTAAAAAATATGTAAAYACTTACCATTTAGAAACATAAGAAAATTACTGATGTAATATCTTCAAAAATATTCATATTAAATCAACAATGTATTTAAGGTATTTAATTGGATAAGGATGAACGCTGTATTGATTAAAATCGCTTCGAAAATAAGCTATTAGTTGTCGTAAAAAGTAAATGACAAAAAATGTTATTGTGGGTGTAGTCGTTGGCATCGATAGCAAATTTAACGCGCTCCGAATCAATAAAAACTATTCAAAAACTGTATTTTAATTATTGAACGTGAATAGAGCGGTTTATTTCGCTAAAAAAATTTAATGTACATATAATCAGGGGTGTTGTGAAATTCAAGACAGAATTGCCTAGCTGTCAGAATTGAAAACCAATTCTGATTTTAAATGGTGTCACAGAATCTGATAGATCGTCTTTTCGAACATACACAAAACCAATATTCGAATCAGCTGKTTACTAATGTGACAAATATTGTGAACGCAATTTGAATAAAATTTGAAATGAGTTCAGCAACATTAGATGCGAGAGATTCGTACATATGTACTTATATACATGTGTACGTACCGAGTTCTTTCACCAGAGAACGTCTATCATAGAGAAGGTTCACGGCGCGGAGATCGTAAAAATATTTTTGGCTAACTCGGTCGAGATAAGCCAGTTTCACCACAGACAAATTATAAGCGTGTTTCACCACGAAAATAGCAGAATTCGGCATTTTCAGTGTTAAATGAGAAAAATAATGCTAATTCCAATGTAAGAAAATTTACGCCTACATAAGTATGTATGTATGTATATTAAAATTTATCTATGTACATATGTATTTCATGATGATTCTATAAAATCATTAAAAATATATAATAGAGCAAAGTTTGTATTATTATCCAAATAATTGATATAAGTTAAGGTAATTAGTTTTAAATTTATACATTTTAAAGTTTTGATATCATCTTAAAAGATCTTGCGGTCGCACATGTGCTCATATACATACATATAATTATGCGTGCATGTAAACAAATATGACAGACCATACGCATAATGTTTGTAAATTTGTCTATATGCAACATATGTATGTAAATATGAAACACTCAATGCTTCATGCCTAATCTCCGTTCACACGGYCAACCAATGGCGAAGCTCACTTTTTATCAAAGAGTCAATGTGGCGACAATGCGTCACAACATTGTATTGTTGGTAGAAAATCCGAACTGTGCGAAAAAAAATAAACCAACGGCCGCCTATTGTCTCCGCTTCCCTTGCCCCTGTACAGCTACGCAAACAAACCAGCGCATATATGTATGTTTGTGTGTGAACTTGTATACATATCGACGCAGATTTTTGCAAGCCGCGTACAAATATTTTTTACATTCATGACAAATACCGTCAATCCCGGTTATGTGCAACAATCTAAGATACAGATATTTGTGGTTTGTTAAAAATRAGATTATAATATGGCACATAGGCGAGTGCGGATACTTAAGCGATTGGTACTTAAAACAATAATTTCTATGTATTTCAAAAAAGAACCGTGCGATGCAGCAAGATATGGGCAGTTAAGAGGAATGATTTTTATTTAAGCGGAATACTACTTAACCGGGATTCACTGTACACATAAATCAGAGGAATATTAAACTGGCTCATCTCGACCAAGTTAGCCAAAAATATTTAGACGATCTCCGCGCCGTGAATCTTGTCTATGATAGACGYTCTCTGTTTTCACCATACGATCTAATTCAACGCGAATGAGGTGGCGTGAGATTGCCATATAACTTCTAATGTTTCATTCGGTTGACAGCGAACAAACGCAGAAACAGTTTTTTTTGGAAAAAGTGCTGCTCTTGTTTAAACAAGTTTGGTTAAATAAGAAATGAATCAACTATTTTTTTTTGATGCAGAACGAAAGAAAATATTTCAAAGTTTAACTTCAAGTAAGTTTCATTTTAATCGGTGGATTCTTTTATGATATATGGCTGTGTAAACAA